GTAAAATTTCGATTTCATTGCCAAATTCACTTTATTTAATTCTTCGGATGCTCCGCTATCAAAAATATAATGTTTGGTTAGCTTATTAGTGAAACTGCCCCTAATAAGATCACATTTGTTTCATGAAAAATTATTTTAAAATTGTCTGGCACCTGTAAAATCCCCACTCCAAATTCACTACTTGCTTAAATCGATGTGTCGCCATAGCAGCCCTATATTTTACACGATACAAACAAAACTTAAAAGGGGCTTTTCTTGTCAGCTGTTGAATACTATTAAGTTCAAAATGTCGTTTAGAGATGTAAGAAGTAAGTTATAATAAGTACATTTTCAACAAGTTTCGGCCATCTTTACCATTTTCAGATCTCGTCGAAATGCTTAAAGCTCTTGGCTACCCAAATTTGGTTTCCATGGAAAGCTTCAGAACACCGAATTTCCTATTAGTAGCCGAATTGCTTGTATGGCTGTCCAAACGTTTCGATCCGGATGCTAATATACCATTGGAAATAAGTACTGAAGATGAACGGGTCAAGCTTATTAGAAACGCTGCACATTTCATGGTGAAAATAAATACTTTGTCGAACAATCTAAATTATAATTAAATACCTACTTGTTTTCAGGCTCTTAAAGCCAACATTAAACTAAATACCAAACGTCTTTACCAATCAGACGGTTACTCAGTGAAGGAACTTCTTAAAATCACAACCCTTCTTTATGATGCTCTAAATGTTAATTTGGATGAAAGCGAGGAAGACCAAATTAATGAAGAAAGCTTTAATTTTAGAGACTTTGATATATCTGATAAGGTGTGTAGGTATAATTATTTATCTTTGAGCAAAGAACAATCTTTCGCAGTTGTAGACTTCCTTCAATAATAATAGTTCTTATGTTTTTAGATTAGTGACTTAAAGCTCTCCAGACAATTAGCAAGTGAAATAACTACAACCGGAGCTACTTTATTTGATTTACTTGGAAAAGAAGTTGATTTAAGGGTAAGCATTTTCAAATTAAATTGAAAAGAAAAAATACATCTGACATATTGTTCTCGTAGTCAGCAAGACAAAGAAGCCTCGGTCGTCAGTACGAACTTTCAGACGTTGAAGCTGGAGTCAAAAAAGCAATTGAAACCATTAACCAAGAAATAACGGAAACCAAACAGCTAATTGATAACGTGGCTGCAACTGAAGCAAGTCTAGATTCGAAAATCGAACGTAGAAAAATTGAACTGGATCGCTATGAGAAAAGATTGCAAACTTTAAAGAAAGTTCGTCCGGCATTTCTTGAAGAATTCACAGCCCTTGAGCAAGAGCTAGAGCAATTATTTATTCAATACTCTGTCAGGCTGCGTTGCCTCAATCAACTCGAAAAACAATTTACCGACTCTGAAAGAATCCAGCTTCAAAAACAGCTCCAACTAACCTCGCCACAAGTACTTAAAATTCCTCTAGACAAATTCGAAATGAATGATGACGTTTTGGGAATAGATGAGCCCGATGAAAGACGTGGACCTAGACAAGAAAGACCTAGAGCAGGCACTGCAGGCCGTAAATCACGCGGTAGACCTTTCGGCTCCATGCAACCGCCGTTATCTGGCAGCCAATCTTCACTGGATCTGAGTAGTGACTCGGAAACCGACTTGTTCGTTGATAAGGAAGAGCCCGAGCTAATGCACTCGGATGACGAGTCTTTAGCTCTGGAATTGTCTGGAATGGACAGAGTGGTGGCACCGTCTGGGAGAAAAACTAGTACCAAGGTGCCGGAACCAAATAGCGATGACGATTTTTAGTTTAAAACAAAAATAAGCAGTTTTTAAATTTTTTTAATGTTGATTAAAATAAATAAATGATATAAGTGTAAGACATGTTTTATTTTTCTCCCATTTGTACAAATAGTTTTAAAAAAAAATCCAAATACCTACATATTCGACGATGCAGGCCTGGTGTTGGATAAGCATATTGATGGTAGAATTGGTTTCCTCAAATAGATACTGTTTGATCGCCGGTCCTGAATATTCTTCTTCATTGTTGCATTTGTCTTGCACTAAGTCAGGCAAATCCGTGAAAATTGCCTCGGTGAATGTGTATGTTCGACCACCTCTTGATAGGAAGAAACGTCACCAAGATGGTTTTGACTGGGTTTTAGGGGGACCTTATATTTTCTCTTCTGCAGTTTCTGAAAATTCAAATTCCATTGGGACTTAATAGAAGCGGAACTATGTATTATTAGCTGTGTCCCTAGCCTAGATCTAAGGGGATTTGAACTTTTTCTAGGGACCATAGGTTCCTTCAGCCTTTGCATGAATATAGGTTTATTTCTTCCTCAGACATTCTGAATTTCTTTATTGCTCTCATCAAACCAATATTGATGTCTCCCATTGAAGTAATAACGTGTTAATTCTTCGTAGGCTGTTAGCATAGCTGTTAGGCATTGACCAGTGGTGTTCAAGATCGTCGGAATAATCAACATAGACTATTTCTCAATTGGTAGGAACTGGAAGTATGGGGTTTCTTCATCTATCCGTCGCTCTAACCTGCGCTATGGAAACGACTTTGTTTCTATCGTTTTGGTAGGTGGTACTTATTTGTAGAGTCAATCAATCCAGGGAGTTATCAGCATGAATTTTAACTCTAATTATTTTCACGTGAATGAGATACCAGTGCTTTGATCTTGGATGTTGTCACGTTCACTTTGTTTATTCTTTTGACGAGAGAGTATTTGTGATGGATGACGAAGTTGTGCTTTGAGCATGTTTTCTATTTGCATCACTTTTGCCTATACCCTCGATGCAGTTTCAGAAGGCTACTCGAGAATTGAAGTCATCTGACAAAATAATTATCTGTCTGATCGAGGGATGTTTGTTAAGGTTCTATGTGGATGGATAGAATTCTTTTTTTTCTTTCTGAATCTAGAGTTGGAACATATGTACTGATTGCAAAGTGGCTTTTGTTTATTTATGAGCTTGAGACGGCATCATCACTATCTTCTTTCCACATGTATAGCATTCCGAATCTCTTCTAGGTTTCTTGTTTTTGGACAAAGATGTAATTTGAGAAGAAACGGCTGAAATGCCTGCGGAATATTTTCGCGGTGCTCTCTTTTCTGGATAAGTTTGCGATTCCGGAGACTTTCTGGCGTGAGATGAAAATTCTGCAATGGTTGGTGCTCCTTTTTTAGGTAATTTCTTTACAGGATAGGCCTCATATATTGGAGACTTCTTTGGTTGTGATATTTCAGTTGGTTTCATTTCTGCTGTTTTGGTAATATTTTCAGGTTCAGGCGATTACGTATTAGCTAAGGTTTAAACTGTTAGGATACGATTCTAAAGCTTGTCTTTCAGGACTTTTTCTTACTTGCGATGAAACTCGCAAAAGGTTGGACCACATTTGGTAGGAGATTTTCTTTCAGGATGGGGCTTCTGGGACAACTTTCTCAGGTGATTTTCTGATTTGTGATCGGAATTCTGAAATTGACGGAGCAGTTTTAGGTGGTGATGTCTTTTCAGGATAAGGCACCAATGTTTCCCTTCCTGGTGAAATTCTAATCTGTGACGGACACTCGGAAATTGTTGGCCCAGTTTTAGTTGGCGAGCTTCTTACAGGATACGGTTCCAATGGTTCTCTTTCTGGAGAATTCCTAATTTGCGCCAAAAACTCAGAAATTGTTGGACCAGTTTTAGTTGGCAAACCTTCTTTCAGGATACGGTTCCAATGGTTTTCTTTCTGGAAACTTCCTATTTTGCGCTGAAAACTCAGAAATTTGTTTGCCCAGTCTTAATTGGCGACCTTCTAATTAGCGCAGGAAACTCAGAAACCAAAGGACTACTTTTATTAGGCGACTTCTTTTCCAAGGGTTGTTTTTCAGGAGACTTCTTTTTTATCAGGACTTTATATTCGGATATTGATTTTCTGGTGTTTTCACAGGGCTGCTCTTGATAGCCTTAACCGTAATGTTGAGTCACTTTCTTCGATTTGCCATTTGTGAATTTTCCATTGGACGTTGAGCAGCACACACTAGTTAATTTTTCTAGTTTTTTTATCCTCTGTGATATAATTTATAGGGTGTCAATGAGTTTAGTGGCATATGCAGACGTTAATTACAATAACTGATGAATAATTTTGTTGCCTCGACCAGGATTTGAACCCAGTACCCGACAATGCTTACGCCTTGAAGCAGTGGACCAGCATCTCAATATCCTCGGTCTATACTATGAAAATATGGCCCTCTTGAATTTACTGCCTCATACCATATGTGTTTGTCTCAAATTCGCGAGAAATACGGTCTTTGTATTTCAAGTATACGCGTTGGGAGCTACAATCAATTCGGGTTTTAGCAAATAATGACCCTTATCAGGAAATTACTGCTTTTATGTATACGTACGAATACGTGCCGTCAATATACGCAAATGTTTGTGAATGTTATTTCTATATTTTTATAAAGAAAGAAATTGAAGTGTGTTGCACCTGATATCTTTCAACTCACCAAAACTCGAAAATGGCTCCGTTGGATTTTCTTGTGCCAATGATAATTTTATCATTATATCCAGGAGTACAATATATCCAAGTGTTAGAAAATTTCACCAAAGGCCATTTTCCATAATATTAGTGCGGGGTATTATTCAATATCAATATTTCAAAAAATCAATGAGGAAAATAATAATACGGAAATAATAGGATACGGTTTGCGGTTTTCCAAGGGCCATCAAAAACAAGTAATTCTACCGCTTCACCTTGCAACGCTTTAGTCCATCAAAACAAATCAAACCATCAAAAGTTTCGGCCCATTAATCGGCAAATTAACGTTTTAATTTATTTTGAATTTCGTAGTGCAAGGCGATATTCGGTAAGTACCCATGCAATTTTATTTTTTACCAATAACGACAGTGCAATTTTGCTAAATTAATACTTCAATTTTCCTAATATAGCAAATGACACACGCAAGTGTTCGTGATGCATAGAGAATACCTGAGTCAAAAAATCAAAATTAGAAAATAATTTTCCAACATGAAGTGCCAAAACAATAAAGTTGTGCTGACTTCCTACATCATTGAGGATCCTGCAAATATTGTCAATATATTTCAGCAGTTTGATGTGAATAAAAATAATGAGAAAACAGCTAAAGTAAATATGGATGAAGATATGATACAAAATGGAAACAAACGTAAGCCCTTTTTCTCATTTACATATTATTAATTTTTCAACGATTAGGTACCTTTTATATCAAATCCGCCAAGCCATTTCTACATATTTTTGTATAGAGTATATACTTTGGACAACAATTTTGCTATTACATATTTGTACTACAGTCGACAATAGAATGAAAGCATCATTTTATATATTTTGCTTTGGAAAAATTTATTTAGGTATTTCACAAAAACTATTTTCCTTAACTACTTGCACTCATTTCATCAATGAGTACTTTCCATTTTGTTTGCAGTCCTTTCTTGACATATAGACACATTGTATCTGACTCACTCTATTGGGCTCATTAGTTTTTAATGCCAATTCACCTTATCTATTAACATTAGCCTTGTATTTTTAATAAATAATAGCCCCATTAAAATCGTTTATTTAAAAAACCCATCTTCACAAACGAACATGAAAATTTCAGACACATTAGACTTATCCGAAGACATCAAACCCAATAGTGCCACCAGTGAACCTAAAATTACAATCGCAAAATGGCTGAAGAAGCAAATAAGAAAAACGTGTACTTTGAAAACCATAAAAAGACGAGTACCCATATTCGATTACTTACCAAAATACACATGGAAGAAAGCAATATCAGATTTCCTGGCAGGATTAACAGTGGGACTTACTATAATCCCACAAGCTATTGCCTATTCCAGTGTAGCTGACTTACCTGCACAAATTGGTAAGAACTTCAATTTACCTATATAAAATAAAATTGCATCAAGTTGTGTTTCAGGTTTATACTCTTCTTTTGTGGCTCCGTTTGTTTACGCCATATTTGGAAGTAGTAAGGACTCACCAGTAGGCCCAACAGCTATAGAAGGCTTGCTGGTAAGAGAAAATAAGCATAATTTGGGTGTACCCGGAGCTATTTTACTTTGCTTTCTGAGTGGCTGTGTTGAATTTGCTATGGGAGTCTTACATTTAGGTAAGAATGAGCACAATCAACTTCATCTGTTAATTATCTTTCTTCTAGGTTTTTTGATTGACTTTATATCAGGCCCTGTAGCGATAGCTTTCACGTCAGCAGCTGCTATTATTGTGGCTACAACGCAAGTCAAAGATTTGTTAGGTTTGGGATATCCTGGTGACAAATTCGTTTTGGTGTGGAGGCAAATTTTTGAACATATTTCCGAAACGAGTGTGCCGGATTGTCTCATGGGATTTACTTGTGTGGCCAGTTTATTTGTACTGAAGGTAATGATATTTATAAAAGAATGGGGTGATTTAAAATAATAGAAACATGCAAACAAATTTAGTGCGCACAGTCGAATTTGGTTGCAGGTTAGTCAAGTGCATATTTTGTCAGTGGAAGTCCAGATTCTCAGGAGCGCAGACGATGAGAAAGAAAATAACATTAAAAATCATTAACGAGGGCGCACAACTATTCCCACATCTTGGCCGTAAATCTAAATCGGTTAAGAGAGAATATTTTACTGTGTTTTGGTGCTCTTCGAGTGGATATGAATATTTTTGATGGATTGGTGACGCAAAACTTTGCAGAAAAGGCGAGAAACTGCCAGAGAACCCATGCAATGACATTTTCCCATCCGACCTTAGAATGATTCGATTTCAAATCGAATCTGCTCATTTTTTTTAGACATATAGGTTAAATTGTATGTCAGTGTGGATACGATAGCCTCATATTTTCTTCTTTCTGCAGTTTAGCGGTCACTCCATATTCCCCTGGATTTGTTGTTTTTCAGTTCAATTCGATCTCAAATTCTTCGATATCTGCTATTTTTTTGTACCTAATAACCGATAGAAGCTTTCCACATGAAGCCATTTTGTTACTGTTCATTTCTTTTTCTATGTTCATCATTCATGCGCATGATTTTGTTGGTACCACCCATTGCTATTACTATTTAATGCTATTACTACTACTCTAGTTGATATGGGCTGAGGTGAAATTTCTTGAACTATTTCTTATCAATTGTTTTAGAACTGTTAGTTTTTAGTGTTTGCTTTGGTTTAAGCACTATATGGGAACTGACTATCAAGTTTTTTCTTAAATACTGACACTGAAGTAGCACTTACTGTTTCAGCTGGAGGTTGATTCCAGAGGACAGACTCTGTTTGGTAGCAAATTCTACCTAAACACTGTGGAGTAACTTTTGTTTTTTTACTTTTGGACTGAGACCCCGGAGTCTCTGGTCTGTGTTCAAGGCATAGAGGTGTCTAATAATTTGAATGTGGTTATTGAGTGTTTGATAGGTGAAGATGAGATCTCCTCTTGTTCTTGTATTTTGGAAGCTCAACAGTTTTTGTTGTTCTAATCTTTCCTCATATGTAGGTCTTCTTCTACCAAGTTGCAATCGTGTTGCTTTTCTCTGTATTGCTTCAATGCGATTGCGGTTTCTAATGGGGTGTGGTTGCCAGGCCTGACCTGCATATCCTAGGATTGGCCTGAGTATATGTAGTACAGTTTTGTAAACGCTTCTTGGAGGGTGTTTCGAAATACCTTCTTTAGGAGGAATAGCTTACTGTTGGCTTTTCTGCATATTGTTATTACATGTGCTGACCAGGTCAAATCTTTGGTTATCAGAGCTCCAAGGTCATTGTGATGCTGAGCACTGACCAGTACTGACCCATTGATGGTGTATTAATTTCCTGGTTTATTTTTCCCAAGATAGAATATCACACAATTTTACACATTAAGGGGTAGTTGCCAGTCTTCACGCTACTCCTCAATTTGGTTTAAATCAGTCCGAATTGTTGGTAGGACCATATAGGTTTTTATGTCGTCGACGAACGCTGCACATGTTGATATTTTGGGTTGAGGAGAACTATAGTGTAAGCTGGAAACAACAGAGATACCCCTGATCCTTGGAGTACGCCACTTTGTACTGGATAGAGTTCATAGTATGTCGCCAACTCTGACTTTGTAAGTACTCTCTGTTTGTAAGATAGTCTTTGGTCCAAAGTTTGTCACCTTTTTTGTATATCGGTATGCCTGATGCAACTTTCCAAGCGGCGGTGGGCCTTTTTTACTTCAGTGATATCTTCATTATTTTACACAGGGGAACAGCAAGGTTGTTTGAACCCTTTCTAAAAACTAATGAGGATACTCCGTCCATACCTCTGGAGAGCTGGCAACCTTCAGGACTTTTATCTTCTTTAAGATGTTTTTTTACAGATTTAGAGATTTTAAAATAGGGATGCCTACTTTGGTGTTTAGTTGTGATCTTATGTACCTACTTGTGTATTTTTTTCAGGTTCTCAAAGTTTTTTAGGCTGTCAATGTATGCCAGCTTAGCTGCTTTTGTGTTAAAGTGTTGGAGAAGGTTGCGATTTTCCCTGTAGTCAGTGGGATTGTTGGTATGTAAGTACCTTTTTCTCATACAGTCTCAATTGGGGTTGTTAGTTATCAGTTTATCAATGGTTTCAGGTCATTCACTCTTTTAGTTTTGTATTCGGTGTCGCTATTTAATATTGTCTCTAGTTCTGAGTGAAAGCTGGCCCATACTTGATCTAAACTTCTCTGGACTAAACTTACACATAGAGATTTTTAGGCAAAATTCAAAGTTTTATATTTACGACACGAATAAAGTATTTTTAACTCGGCTTTTGGATTTTAGTACCCTGTCTCTTCTGAATAAGGCTACTTGCCGGGTTACGGGTTCTGATATACGAGGCGATAGAATTGAATTTTGTCTAAAAATCTGTATGTGTAAGTTCAGGTGTCCAGCAGTTCAAATGGTCATCAGAGAGGAATTCTTCCTAGTTGATTTGCGATATATGATGATTTATACCTTCATAATTCATGTGTTTCACTCCATGTACTGTTGCTTTTTAATCTGTGTGTGTCTTGTCCTGTTCGCAGTGTCAGTTTTAATAGTTCGTGCTCTGATTTTCCGATGGGTGATGAATGCTCATGTTTGGTGATAAGGTGTGTGTCATTAACGATGACCAGATCAAAGAGTCATGGAGTTTGACCCTCTCTGTAACCGGTGATGATCTGGACGTTGTAGACCTAAGTTTGTTAGAGTTTGTCCTATGAAAGGGCTTAATAGACCCAGAACCGTCAGAGGCCATGAAATTCTAGGAAGGTTAAAGTCGCCAGCTACAATAGGATTTTGGTGGTTGGCAGCAAGGCTTGTTATGGTTTTTATGAAGAGTTTTAGATCATCTTTTAGCAGGGAATCATTTGGTCTGTACCTGTTGGCATTGTATCCTTGCTTTATTGTTTTTCTTCAGGTATCTGTGTATTCATTGATTTCTCTACATTCCGCTGTAATTCATTTCCTATTCCTCGGAAAACTTTGCCTCATCAGTTTTCTTGTTTCAGTGCTTCTGCTGCTCCTCCTGGTTTTTTATCTTTGCTACATCTTTGTCCGCTTCCAATAGTTGTTCTAAGCTGCATATATTGCCTTTGTGGACTTCCTACTCTTCCTTGCGACATAATTGGGTATTAAATTCAACCATTTTGATAGTTTCTGCTGCTCCACCTTCCTATATGGCTATTGATAAACTCTTCAAAGAAAATTCCTAGATATTGAGATCGGTGCAGATCCAAATCTCTGAGCGTCAGAGAGAATGATGTTATTCTTACCTTCTCTCTGGATTGTAGTGGCTCAGAGTAAATGGCCCTTCTCCAATCATTGCGATTTTGAACAAGCTCCTTCCAATTGTTATTGGTACTCCAGGCTTTTAGGTCGTCGTGTACTACATCCTTAAATCGGTTGTACTGTCCACCTTGTCGTCTTTTTCCTTCAGTTAGTTCTCCATACAGAAGTAACTTTGGCAACCGCTGTTATTCCATCCTCGAGACGTGACCCAGCCATCTCAGCCTTGCTCTCCTCACCAAAACCTCTATGTTCATGCAATTGATCCCGCAGAGAACCTCGGAATTTGATACTTTGGAAAACCAGAGAGTTCTCGTAATTTGATGAAGGTGTCGTTGTTGAAGTTTTTCTATCGCTTCCAAATGGCGTTTCCACTCACAGCCGTGCAGTAACGTTGGTGAAATGACAGCTTTATACATGGCTTCTTTGGTTCTGAGGCTTAGACCTTTAAGAGTCTAGTGAGTCTTGGCAGCAGCATAGATGTTCAATAATTCTTGCAGAATTTCCGCTGAGTAAGAAATCAACGCACAGTAATCCGCGACTGGAAGTCGGTTATGAATTTGACTCTGGTTCTTGTAGTGGCACGAAGATGCTTCAAATTGAACCATCATATCTGTATCGAATACCAAATCCTCTGGCAATCAAATTTTTATCTAAAATGATTGATAGAGCAGCGAGAAACATGGTTGAAAAGTGAAGGCGCCAAAACGCAGCCCTGCCTTACTCCAGTCTTGGCTTGGAAAGGTTCGGATAGTTGACCATTAGAACTCTCGAAGTATTGTTTTTGTGTAGGTTTTCTACTAAGGTGATGCATGTTTCCAGGATTCCAAACCGTCTCATGATTCGCTTTGCGATTCACTGAATCGAAGGCTTTAGCCAACTCTAAAAATGCGACATGGAGTTCAGTTTACTATTCTCTAGGTTTTTCCTACATTTGTCGAAGTACAAAAATTGACCAAAATTTCCTCTGTTTGACCAAAATCTGCTTTCACTCTACTGGAATTATTTTGTCTATTACTGGCTGCAGTCTGTCGGCCAATATCTTGAACAGAATTTTACCTGCTACAGAGAGTACCTATATCCCGAGATAATTGTTGCAGTCGAGTCGAAAGCGGATCCTTTAATTTTTGTAGATGTTTATTATATCGGCCTCTCTGAAGTCTTGTGGGATTTTTCACTTGCCCAAATTTTATCAAGGCACTAGCTAGGCAATAGCTTTGTATTTTCGCGGGATTGGGACTTCAGGACTTGCTGCTTTATTGTTTTTAAGCTTTTTATTGGCTGTTCGAGTTTCGTCAGCAGTGGTAGTTTGACCAAGCTCCTGTATTGTTTTATACTGAGGAATCATATCTATCACAATGAAGTCTACATTATTTGATTTTTCAAGCACGGTGCAGTAACTCCATCTGGACATTATCTCCTCCAAATCCTTCAGCGTATTCGGCTCTGTGAAGTAGGCACTTAAATACTTGAAACACAAAAATTAAATTTTACGTAATCGATTAGCGCTTCGTTAGTGCTTCAATGTGCTTTAGTCTCCAAATTAGCAACCCTCGTATTTTCGGGGATATTTCGGTTTTTTGAAATCACTCGCTCACTTCACACCCAGCAGGAACAAAGGAAGCAGCAATGTTCACTTACATATAAATGGTTAGTGCTTCATTCCGCAAATTAGCAACCCTATTATTTTCAGATATATATCGGTTTTCAGAAACCGCCTGCTTACTTCACACCCAGCAGGAGCATAGAAAGCACGAACGTTCAGTTGTAGATAAACTGTTAGTATTTCGCTAGTGCTTCATGATGCATCACCTCAGCTTTTAACAACTCTTATACTTCCAGAGATATTTCGACTTTTTGCAATTGCCTGCTGATTTTACCCTACCAGGACCGAGAACCGAGAATATGAACAGCATAAACTCTGTTCTGAATTACTTATAAATATGATTAGTAGGTACTGTGTACTTCCTAATAATCTTAATGCTTGAGCCGGTTTACTTATCTTCCGATAAACTTACTGTTACATATCTACAAGACAAATTTGCCAATCAATAATCCCATTGGATTGTAGATTTCATTTTTATGCATCAGATAATCGTAATAGTTTATCAGAAGGTGAATAAACCGACCCTTAGTTTCTCTTTTGAGCAGCCATTAGATTAATCTTATCACAAATGTTCCTGCTATGTGTGCACTAACCAGGCGATTTCCAAAAACTGGAATATTCCCGAAAATTCAAGGGCTGCTAATTTGGGGATGGAAGCAGGAAGCACATTGAAGCATTAACCATTTATCTGCAATTGAACGTTGGTGCTTCCCTTGTTTCTGCTGGAGGTGAAGTGAGCAGGCGATTTCTAAAAACCGAAATATCTCTGAAAATATAAGGGCTGCTAATTTGGGGATTGAACCACATTAAAGCACTAACGAAGCACAAAGCACAATCCAATTATCTGCAACTGAACGTTGGTGCTTTCCTTGTTCCAAAATAACTCAGGCTTGTGTCATATATTGGCTAGTAGGTACCAAGTACGTTCTGGCAAGTATCCTGAATAGTTTTTTGGATAGTAGACCACAGTTCTCCTAGATCCTGGATCCTGAGGTGCATGCTCTAGAGTTAACTCTGTTTTGAGCTCATTGCGTAAGGCAGGTAGCACTGAAGGGTTTTCCAGTTTTTCTATGCATAATTTTCTGGCGGGCTTATATTTTTTCATGTGTTCCAGGTACTTTAGTTTGAGACTTAGTTTGAGTTTAGAGACAACCAAACGGTGGTGTTGAAGTCTTCCAGTAGCAATATATATTCTTGGTAGGGGATTATTTGAAGAATGTTGCTCAGTTCCTCATAAAGAGCTTCTTTTCGCTTCGATTTCTGCGTCGAGCGTTGGCGCATAGGCGGAAACCAGGTTTGCATAGTTTCCATTTGAAATCTTAGAAGCACCTAATTAACCTTTCAGACACACCTACTGGTAATTCGTGAATCATCTTTTGAGCAGAAAAATGCATAGTTTTCTTCGTGTTTCAGCCAAAGCTACTATATCTGTGTTGAGTTTGAAGAGTTGCTCTGCTATCACAGCGGTTCTCCTGTCAGCGTGTGTAGCTACTGTATTAGAATTGTTGAGAAATCGGATGTTCCAGATTGCCAAAGTTAGGTTTTTAGCCTTACATTTGTTGCTTAGTTTCCTTGGACGATTCGCTTGAGCAGATATACCCTTCCCCGGAGATCCGATTGGGAGGGTATTTACCTCCGGATTTCGTAGTCCCATTCGAACGATTCGTCTTTGTAACGTACCTAAGCTGCGACAAAAATTTATTTGAAGACACCCAGGTCAGAGTCGCTAACTGCCTAGTTACTGTTGATTTAAAGGTAGCTATGGCTCAGATATGTCTGAGACAAATAAGATCCTTTCCCTATTGGGGTTCGACGAGAGTCATTTCCTACTATCTCCTTTGTGAACTGTTTATGGCAAATTGTCGATCCTTACTGAAGAGATAGAGGAGAGGGTTATACCGCCCTTACTCTTCCGACACAACCAGTTCTGTTTAAAAACAGGACAATGGGATGCAAACAAGATAATGAGGCCAACATCCAAACTATGGGAAATGGCAGGCAAAAAAAAGAAGAGTAGATAGCATAACATGTCCAAAAATTTTAAATATTTCTTTTATTCCTTTATTTAAGCAAGATTGATTTAGATATTGCCTCTAAGGAATTTTCTCAAATTAATGTAAAAATTTTGACTAGAAACTGAAGGACATAAAATTTTCCGAGAAAGACAACAAAGAATCAACAAGCATCCAGAAAATCTTACACGGAACTTGCTGGCTGCTATCAACTTCAAGAAACCTGTTGGTAGTTGTGATCTCGGCCTCTGTAGCATATTTCTTTGAATCCCGAGGAATATCATATTTTAGATTAACTGGTACATGTCCCAAAATTTAATAAATTCCAATTTCACTGGCATATTGTTTTCAGGATTCGTCAAACCAGGACTTCCTAGCGTCAGCCTGCCACCCTTCAGCGCCGAAATAGACAACAAAACTTACACGTTTTTCGATATGGCATCAACTTTGGGTTCGGGAATAATTATCGTTCCGATTCTATCCATACTACAAAACTACGCGATTGCTCAAGTTTATAGTAAGATGTTTTATAAATATTTTGATTAGCTTGAACAATAATTATTTTTCAAGGTGAAGGCAAATCAATAGACACTACTCAAGAAATGCTGGCTTTGGGAATTTGCAATATAGCTTCGTCATTTGTTAGTGCAATGCCTGTATCTGGAGCCTTATCCAGAGGAGCAGTGAACCATGCCAGCGGCGTACAAACAACATTTGGAGGAGTTTACACTGCAATAGTGGTTATTTTGTCGTTGAGCTTCCTTACGCCATGGTTTTACTATATTCCGAAAGCTGCCTTGGCTGCTGTTATTATTGTGGCTGTAGCTTTTATGATAGAGTTGCACTTACTTGCACCAATTTGGAGAACTAAGAGTAAATATTATTAGGTTTAAAGATATCTGTATGTACATGTATATTATTTCAGAAACTGATCTTATACCAGCTTCAGCTACATTTTTCACGTGTCTATTCACAAGGCTGGAAATTGGTATTGGTGTTGGTGTGGCCTTGAATTTAGCTCTTCTATTATGGGCAACTGCTAGGCCTTCGATTAGCATTGAGAAAGCCACGGTAAACGCTGATTTTGCAGTGACTATGTGACTCTAATTTTTAAGGTTCTAGACAAAATCTGGACATGATTATCTTCTAGTTACTCCTGACAGAAGCCTATTGTTTCCCGCAGTAGAATATCTCAGATATACGATTAGCAAGGCTAGCTCTAAAAATGGAAATTCGATTCCTATAGTTATTGATGCCAGACATATACAAAGTGCTGATTATACTGCTGCAAAAGTAAGGGGGTAGACCTAAATAAAAATAGCTATATGTAATGTTTCACTTCCTTTCAGGGTATAAAATTGCTCATTAAGGACTTCTCTACGAGGAATCAACCAATAATATTCACCAACTTGAAAAAATCAGTCATAAAGACTTTCCAAGGGCCAAATCCTAAAAATTTTCACTATTGCGCCACTTACGAGGAGCTTGTGGAGCATTTTAGGAAAAATGCTGCTCAAGCATCTTCATCGACTGAAAAAATTGAATATTTTATGACAAAACTTTAGTTTTTTTTTTTCTAATTTAAGGGTTATTTGGCAAATAACACGTAATTTTGTATTGTCTACATACATATTAGTATTTATAGTGTATTAATGAATTTGAGATAATGTTTTCTCTAATAAATAAAAATACTAAATAATCGATCTTATTATTACTGGTAAAAGGAAGAATATTCAGAATTGCACAAGTTATGTTGCATAATATAGGTATTTTCCTAACAAGTGCGCAAAGTGCGTAATAGTTCACCCAACAGAATATGTCACGGATATTGTCCGAGGTCTTGTTGACTCTCATTATAAACGTCTCTAAAACTCGAAATACTTTTGTCCTAGTCACGACCAAATGCGTTTTGAAGATTCTACAATTTGCACCTATCCAGGTTCGTTTAAGTAAACTAGCCGGGAGTCCCATTAAGCCTACAGCGCCTTGAAAGTTAAGCCTCTTGTTAATATTTCTTACCAGGTTGGTCTCTAGATTTTCCGGATTCCCTCAGATTCAAAAATGGCTTGATGTCCCTATCTTGTAATAGGTCACTTCTTAGCTGTTCGGAACTCCATTCTTGATCCGTTTCAAATCGGAAGCTTCTAATAGGGACTCCTTCACATTGAGCTGGGTCGCCCAGATTTAGATTAAGCATCTGCGTTATTGTGCAGTTCACCAGCACGGTGTTTGATTTGAGCCATTGCTACCTGTCCTTCTGATTGTTCCATGTTTAGAAGCTATATTGTTCTACGAAGAAATTTTTGTCCATACAGGTACTTGAGAAAACCGCTCTGACTATTGCTAATTCCTCGCAACGCAGTAATCTTTCGGGGTTGAAGCACTCTACTGTATTATTCATTTACCCTTTCTCCAGTTTCTCCATGTTCTATTTGCAACAGAACAACTCGCATCTGTCTCCAGAATAAACTCTCCATGTAGCCGTGGGTAGCCTTATGTAGAACAGGAACAGAGCTGCCTTCAGCCTCCCAAAAGCTGCGTTACAATCGGTGGTGTTCCAATGAAAACTATCTTTTTCTTCAGTGAGTTTATACGACGGTGCTGGCACATTAGCAAGTCCTTCTATAAATCGACTGTAGTATGTACTTCTGAGCTCAATTCATGCTTGTCCCAAGGTCGAAGCCATCCACGAATTACCTGGATTCATCTCTCGTCAGTATTTCTTTCTTTGGTTAAAACTACCCGGCCAAGAAAATCAACGCGCTGCTTTAAGAGTGAACATTTCATGTCCTATAATCGGAGGTTGCCTTACGGATACATGTAAATACTTCTTGTAAGTTTCGTAGATGCTCATCGGGAGTTTCTTCCATCACTAACACGTCATCTAGGTACACAAGGCATACTTTCCACGTAAGACCTCGTAGTACAATTTCCATCAACCTCTAAAAAGTAGCGGGGCCATTACAACGTCCAAAAGGCATTACCTTGAATTGGTAAAGACCACTTTCAGTGGAGGACGATGTCTTCTCTCCGACTTTTCCGTTGATGCATCAAACTTATCCTTATCCTTATTAACCAGTATCCGCTTTTCAAATCCAAAGTAGAAAGCCAATTTGAGTCTACCAATGTCAGTAGGGTAGAATTCTGGGTAATATGTAGCTGTCTTTCTTAGTGGAATCGTTAAGCTCTCTGTAATCGACGCAAAATCTGGTGACAGACAGACCTTAACCACTTGATTCAGTTTTAGTACCGCTACTCTGGGAATGCCCCTCTGGGTCCTTATTTTTGAAACAAGGGAGCAGCTTTCCGAGGAGAACGAGTGTTCCGTCTTTGTTACTTATATCATCATTAGGGTGTCCGAATTTGGACGGTTTCAAAAGCAAACGTCAATTTCTGAGCGAAAGACAAAAAAATGAGGTTCAAATTTCATGAAATCTTTATTGGTGCAAACCACATTTTGATATATTCAATCGTTTAGCCGCTAGAGGGCGATTCTCGATTTTGAGCAATGTTCTGAGCAACACTGCGAAACCTGTTTAGGGAGATAATTGATTTCCGTAAAAACCTTATATGTAGAAGCACTTTTGTACGCAGAATTCAGTGACGTTCTCATTTTTTTTTTCCTTTTTGGCCCGGATTTTGAAATATTGATCAAATTTCGATTTTTGTCAATAAGACATATATACCCTAATAACACCGATCTCCCAGAAACATCCTATTTATGTACCATTAAGGTCCTTATGTTTCCGACATAAATGGTACATCGCTGCGATGTTTGTAATGTAACATCTCTAGGATGATTGTCCTGAAATGTTTTAGAAACATCCTTTCGAAAATATCTAACGACAAAAAGATTTTTTGTTCTCAAAATTAGATACTTATTACAGCTAAAAAATGGCTAACATTATTTTACAAAACTAGGTAGGACCTCCCCAACAAACACAAGTACGTCTTTAGTACGTCCATAATTCGTACTTTTTTGGACAAAAGTACGTCCGCGGACGTACTTTTTAGGTCCCGCCGACGTACGAGGGACGTCTTTATGACGGTCGTTTTCCACAAAATAGTGCGTCCCAGGTACGTACATTTAGGTACGTACTCAGTACGGCTTTTTAGGTACGTATTTGAGACGTACATTAACGTACGTATTTAGTATAGCTTTTTAGGAATGTGTTTGGGATGTAGGTACAGGGTTTTCCCATATATTTTTACACCCCACCGGCACTGGTTGATTGGATAGGTAGGTTTCAAAAAGATGTGAATACAAATGTTGTATTCATACCTTTTTGATAGGTACCTATTCAGTTAACCTGTTCAGATGGGTTGCAAAAATATATGGCAAACATAAACATCACACATATGTATTTATATGTATGTTTATAGCGAAAAATAAAACAATTATCCCTCCACAATCCGATGTCCACAGGTAGGTACAGGTAAAATCACATTTCAATGCTATTTGATAGGGAAAGGTGATAAATTTACCTGAACCTGTGGACATCGGATTGTGAACAGGATATACATATTGTATTTTAAAGTGGCAATTTTTATACAATAAATATCTTAACAATTACATTAAAAAACTAAAAAATATGAATAACATAAGATCAATTATAAAATATAACATACCCTTAAACTTAACCTTAACCTTAAACAACAGTAAATATAAAAAAAAATAGGTAGGTATAACCTACAAACATTGAGAGAATTGTAAACGGGCACAAATCAAGAAAAGTTTCACACAGTAAAAATCTTGATAAAAGTATTATTATTATACACAAAAAACAAAGCTAAACACGTTGCTGGCGTTACTGCAATCAAAACAAAATGGTTCCCGCGTCACTTTACTTGGTAAAAAAAAAAAATAGAAGAAAACAACGACCTCACACCACACTACAAACGAGCTACACGCTACACATACAAGACCAAAAAGGCAAAATCAGACAGGAGCAACCACAGCCTCAACTCAAAGGAGGCAAACGGTGTTGCCAGCTCAATCCATTTCTAGCTGGGAAACGACAAAACCACCAACCAAATAAATTTTTAATTTTCAACTAAAAATTTTAAAAATATGCATTGAAATTGAAGTTTCAATAAATTATAGTAGATTTAGCTTGTGATTATCGATTATTGAATCGTAGTCAAAATTATAGATTTCGATAATTATCGGGTCATTGGCAACACTGCACCCTGCCGATGCAAGTGGCCGGCGCGGCGTCCCTTCCTGTTTTCCATTCTATTGGTTTATTTCATGTTTATTTCAACATTTGACAATTTATTAGGGTCACAGGTCAGGTACCTAGATGAAATATAAATCCTTGATTATATGACCTGCCTTATTTAAGTTTAATAATAAGAATTTTCCATGTCAACCTGACCGGCATTTTTGGGTTTAGGGTTTAGAGATTAATTTGGAAGGATCACTTCCATATCTTTTCCTTGGAAATTGCATATTATTAAAAAATATATTATTATCAGAAATCGAGTCAGCAATTAATAAAAAAATCATGAATAGATGGGAATGATCCAGCTCGTCCTGTATTGTTCGTCTTTGAAACGAACATGTACGTCTTTTACAAGACGTACACAATATAGATTTTCACGTACGTTCTTAGTACGTACTTTTTTGTCTGTATATCAATACAACCTTTTACGTACGTACTCAAAACGTATTTTTACATCCCCGACGAACCGACGTAAAACGGACCTAAAATGTACGTCTTCAGTACGTACTGTGTTTGTTGGGTCAGACCGGTAGGACCCAGTATTAAATTTGCCAATTTTGTGTGATTTCTGAAAATGTCTCTAGCACACACACAAACTAATTTCAAATTCCATAATATACCTGTAATGTATATAGATAAGGAACTTAATATTAATTTTGTATTGTAACAACAGCAAAATTTAATTTTTCATTCGACTTACAACTTGGAATAAAATAAAATATGTATTGATAAAAGTCTTCTCTCTTTTCAACTTTCAAACATCGTGAATATTCGTGAAGCCGAAGTGTATGGCGCAGGCGCGTGCTCAGGCATTTGTACTTGTACCGGTCAGGTCAGACTTGGAGGGCACGCCACCACGTCGGGTCGGCGCCGCAGCCAGCGCAGACGGGCAGAATCAGTCGAACGGGTCGTTCTGTGCGCTTCGCTTGTGTTGTTGGGCGGAATTTTATTTCGTAATGGCGTCGTGCTGTGTGGAGGATTTGTCAATTTGTGGTTTTTCGCTACACCTAGTTGTGCCATTTTGTGTTCGAAAGGATCTCTGCGACCTACCAGTGCTTATTAGTTGGTGAGAAAGATTATTTGTTGAAAGATAACGTCGCATAACTATCAATTGTTTAGTTTATTTAATTTCAATATGGCGTCGGTTAGGAAATTTCTAACTTTTCTGATAAATAGCCCCTAAAAACCCGAACTTCATTCTTCATTAGGTAAGAGAAAATAACCAATAATTATTTTTTGTTTTCATAGTTGATTACATTCTAGGTGTGCAAGTTGAATTGTACTTCAAGAACTTTGGATTTTGGTTCTGTGGTTGTTTTTGGTTAGTTAATGGTACCTTTATGAAATTGGAGCACCAAAAAAAAAAAAAGAAAACGCCGAACTCCCCCACTACAACATGCTGCCACTGCCAAACTATGGTTTTCGATGACATGACGGGGCATAAATACTACATTATTTAGGCAAAATTGTCCGT